TATTAAACCAACCACAGCAATATATATTCACACAGCATACAAATATGCCACAACAATTTTCAAATACAAAAACTGTTCTTTTTATTTGCTTTGTTTGGAATGGGGTCTTATATAACCCAAACTGATTTCAAACTATACAGGTGCTATATGGTGCTGGAGATGGAATCCAGGGCTTCCAAGCACTCTACCACCTGAACTACAGAGGTCATAGTGTAGTATTTCCTCAGAGCTGATATATTCCATCCTGGAGAGAAACCGAGAAGACTCAGGACATACGAGCATCATGGTTCACACCTTTAATTTCAGTGCCTGGGAGGCAGAGGCAGGTGAATCTCTGTGAGTTTGAGGCCAGCCTGGTCTACAGAGTGAATTCCAGGACAGCCAGGGCTACAACAGAAACCCTACCTCAAAAACAAAAAAGAAAGGAAGGAAGGAAGGAAGGAAGGAAGGAAGGAAGGAAGGAAGGAAGGAAGGAAGGAAGGAAAGACAAGACTCAGGATTCAGGATGTAAATAACTGAGAAGCCTCAGGAAGTTCCTAAAAGTGAACAGACACACAAGGTTCCTCCCTCCCAAGGTTATATAACCAGCAAGAAGCTCTATGGCGAATCAGACCAACTGAGGCTGGAAAAGGCTGACCTGTGGAGCTGCCTCCAAGTTGTTCACTGAATTTCAAGGTTCTCATGAGTCACTGTCCTTGGGTGGGTTTTCGGTGACGCAGCTGCCCTTGAGTCATGCATGTTCCTGTAAGTAGCCCCTCACCCATACTCCTCTAAGTAGCTCTGATAAACTCACGGGGTCACCAAATCGAACTTCAGCAGTATTGCCACTTTGTTCCTTGTCTGGAAAGAACAGACGTTCGTGTCACACCTCCTTAGGAAAAGTTAGCTGGAGCAAGGCATTGTAGTTCAGTTGGTGGAGTGTTTATCTAACACACACATAGCCCTGGCCTCAGTCCCCACCACCCTGTAAAATGGGCAATGTGCAATACACATATAATCCCAGCACTGGGGAGACAGGCAGGAGGGTCAGAAGCTGAAGGTCGTTCTTGACTACATATGTGCTACGGACCGGCTCAGGGGAGCCACTCAGACCGTGGGGGAATCAGGGAGAAAGACGAAAGATTTCAGGATACGACAGAGGAATTGACAGACAGACCACTCTCAATGTATTTGAGACATGCTGTTGCGTTTTACTTTTTCAGTGCGAGGTTTTTATATTTTTACAAACAAAAAACTTGGCAAAGGCATACATCATCAGATCATAAAAAAAAAGCATAAAACAGTTTACAAAAAGAATCTTTGAAAATGCTTTGACTTGGGCACAAGGACTTTCGCCCAGTCTGTACCAGGTGGCTGGCAGGGCTAAGTGATCTTGTGCTCAGAATATCTTGGAGTGTGAGAGGAGAAGGCCACTATCTTCCTGGGAAAACTTTCTGCTAGGAAATTTTAAAGACATGATCTCAAACTTGTCTGAATCTGGTTTCATACCATAAATCTCAACTTTCTTCCCTCCCCGACTCTCAGGGTCAGATGTTGTAATTAGCCTAGGTTTATTCTGGCCATAATGAAGGCTGCATAGGCCTCCTGCACGTACTTCTCAGGCAAACATCTAGTGTTGCTGCAGCTGTTTTCCTGCAGAAGCTTCTAAGGTTTCTCCTGATAAGAGCAACTCCTTTTGTTCCACATCATTAAGGAATTATTTTAACGATGACTTCCCTATTTCCAGAACTGGCTATTTCTTTAAAGGCTTTAATGAATAGGGGCGCAAAACTCAAAAATGTCCTCAGTAGTCTTGTTTGTATCCGCAACTGCCTGGAATAGTCTGATCTGTTAGCAATATGCAAGGATCACAAAGAACACACAGACAAGGGAAAAGACAGACATATAGCACCAAGTACAGTCAGGTCGAGTCAGTACAAATGGCGGCGCAGGTGGCATTACACCACAACTGGTTGCCAAGGGTCAGCCTGGGACTCATCTCCGTGGAGCACGGATCCCAATCCTCCAGCAATATTTGCCTGCCTAGTCAGCATTTCGGCTACACTGGCGAGACAGCTGTGGATGTAGCACATATGGAGTTTGAGCCTACAAGAGACTCAGTCTCAAAAAAAAAATTAAAATAATATAAAATTATAGAACTTGGTATATAGCTCCATCGTAGAGCACTTCCTAGGCACTTCCTGGGCCCAGTCTCCAGCACACAAAATATAAAGTTACAGCCCTTTCTTGGTCATGTTTGGGTCTTACTATCTGCAGGCCAAAGAACGGAGTAAACGATCATCAGAAGTTATGGTTCCTGCTTTCCATGAGGGAAAACCTCATGTCAGGGACAAGAAAGATCATGTCTGGGTCAGGGACCTGCCAGGGGTGGGGGCTCTTGGTACTTCTAGTCTCATAACCATAAGTAGGAAATTCAAGCAAGCTGGCCTGACAAAGGCAGCAAGACCAAGGTTCACGTCACTCAGAAGTGCAGAACTAGTCAGGTCACCAGGAAGGTAAGGTGGACCAGCCAAAGGGTTCCCGGGGAGGAGAATGCAGAGTAATAGAGGAAGGACACGCAGCTACTACTTAGGGTTCATTAGAGTGATGACCACAGTTTATTCCATTCTATACCATTTTTCTTCTGGTTGTCTTTGTTTTTGTTTATTTTTTTTTTTGAGATAAGGTCTCACCATACACCTCTGGCTGTCCTATGTACAACAGGTTGACCTCCACCTCATAGTGATCCACCTGTCTCTGCCTCTCAAGTGGCGAGATTAAAGACCTGAGCCACCACACCCACCAAGTAATTACATTCATGTATGTATGTATGTATGTATGTATATGTGTGTGTGTGTTCATGTGCATAGATTTGCCACAGTATGAATGAAATCTGGTTGTTTTATTTTATTGTGTGTGTATGTGTGGTACGTGTGTGTGTGTGTATATGCAGGTGTATGCACCTGGACATGTTCTCAGAGGTCAGAGGAAGATGTTGGGTGTCCTGCCTTATGTCTGCTTTAAGCCTATGAGGCAGGGCCTCTCACTAAACTTTGAACTAGGCTGGTAGCAGAAAAGCCCCAGGGAGCTCCAGTCTCCACTCTCCGTGGTGCTGGGAACTCAGGTCCTGGGGTCCTCAGGTTTGCACACATAGGAAGCACTCTTACCCACTGAGCCATCTCTCTAGCCTCTGCTTGTCTTTTTGGGGAGTTGTTTTTTGGTGCTGGAGAATTATCGGTATTCTGTCAATCATGTATTTTAATAAAACGCTGATTGGCCAGGCAGGAAGTATAGGTGGGTCAACCAGACAGGAAGTAGAGGCGGGGCGATGAGAATAGGAATATTCTGGGAAGCAGGAAGCTCCCTCTGCCATTCCTGCCCAGATCACCAAAGAAGCAACATGTGAGCTGACAGCTGAAAAAGGTACCAAGCCATATGGCTAACACAGATAATGATAATGGATTAATATAAGTTACAAGGACTAATAAGAAGCCTGACCTAATGGGCCAATCAGTTTAGAACCTAATGTAGACTCTGTGTTATTTTCTTTGGGAATTGCCGGTTGTGGGGTACCGGGCAGGACAGATACCCCAACAAGCCAGCTCTCATGTTACAGTTTTTGTTGGAGATAAAGTCTTGCAGTAGAGCCCAAGTTGGTCTTGAACTCGCGCTTCACCTGTTTCTGTCTCCCAGTGCTGAAATTACAGCTTGGGTACCACTGTCCCTGAGACTTCTCTTTAAGACACTGTTATCAGCTAGTATCTTAAAGCAATGCCAGCTGGGTACAGTGGCGTGTGCCTTTATCCCATTGCTTGAGAGGCAGAGACAACTGAATCTTTGTAGGTTTGAGGCCAGTCTGGTCGACATACGGAGTTCCAGGCTAGCCATAGTTTCAAAAGGAAGGGGGAAGTAACACTAAGTGTTTACCTTGAAGCACTATGAATTTGTTGTTGTTTTTCAAGACAGGGTTTCTCTGTAGCTTTGGAGCCTGTCCTGGAACTAGTTCTTGTAGACCAGGCTGGCCTCAAACTCAGAGATCTGTCTGCCTCTGCCTCCCAAGTGCTGGGATTAAAGGTGTGTGCCACCACCACCTGGCGCACTGTGAGTTTTTTAAGTAGACAGCTTTGTCTTGCACGATTTGTAGCTAAGAATTTTCTCGACTTTCACAGGTCACTTTGAATTTTGTTTTGTTTTTTGAGACAGGGTTTCTCTGTGTAGCCCTGACTGTCCTGGTACTAGTTCTGTAGTCCAGGCTGGCCTCAAACTCACAGAGATCTGCCTGCCTCTGCTTCCTGAGTGCTGGGATTAAAGGTGTGTGTCACCATGTGTGGCATGAACTTGGACTTTTGAGTAGCGTCAACTGTTAAAGACTGTGGTTTTCTTAGAGACAGACTGAACATATTAATTAACTGATACAAGTCTTTTTGAAATCGTGAGTGGATTATTATTGTTTGGATATAAAGAATTGTCCCCAAAGGTTCCCAAGTTGAGAGTTCGATCCTTAGCTGGTAGACCATGATTCTCCTTGTCTCATATCTCTCCAGATTTGCTTCCTGTTACTTCCCCTCTCCGTTTCCTGGGGTGTCTCTGAGATGAGCTACAAATTCCTGTTCCAGGTTTGACCTAAGCCAGACGGCAATTCTCCTCCTACTTTCTTCCTTTAACTAAAGCACAGGGACAGAGACCTCAGGGCAGTCAGGATCAGGAAAGGGGTCCGGCCAGCTTCAAAGACCTGGGTTCAAGCTCAGCACTATAACTGGCTGTTAGACCCCTGGATCATTGAACCTATCTGGGCCTCAGTTTCACCATCTGACAAATGCACATGATGTAACCCGACACTACACAGCAGTGTGTCATATGCACTTATACTTAATAATAGTCCCTGGCGTGTCATTCAGTATCAATCCATCTTCTCTGCAGCTCTGCTCCCCAAAAGTTCACACACGTGTACATGTGGCGTGCCCACGTGTACACATGCCACGATTCCTGAGAAACACGACTGAGACAGGTCAGGTAGCTCACAAGTTCTTTATTTCCACGCGGGCACATACATCGATACAAAGGCTGACAAAGCTACAAGACTATGGAGCAGTGCAGGAGCAGGGCAGGCACTGAGGCCGCAGCTATGCATGAGCGAAGATGTAGGGAAGGGCAGAACTCTAGAGGGAAACTCACAGGCCACCAGAGACTGAGACGCCACAGGGAGGAGGGACCCCTCCGCCACCCCCACTCAGATACACTTCACATTACACACGGCAATAGAAACAGGAAGGACGAGGGATAGCAAAAAAGAATCAGGTTCCAAAAGCCAACCAGGACTGGGGAGGTCCCTTTATATGAGTGGTTCAAGGGATAGAGAGGCTCCTCCTAGTAACTGCCTAACCTAGGAACCTGGGCCCCCACCCTGACCAATCACACCTGTCTCAGAACTGGGTCTAGTAGCCAGCCAGTCTGCCCACAGGTTGCTTCCACCCCGGGAGCCCCAGTAGCCACAATTTTGACACCAGTTTCAGAATGAGGAACTAGGGTTCTTTCCATCTGCCTTAGAAGAGAGCAAAAGCTTGGGCCAGGACAGGGAAAGGCCCGCCTACAGACGTGAGGTCCTGTTTCAAAGGAAGGGAAGGAAGGGAATGACTTAGGCAGGCAGCAGCAGAAGGGGTCTCAAGCTGTCTGTGGGGCCTCTGCAGGCTGCTGGGAAACAGCAAAGCCTGGAAGAGAAGCAGGCGGACGTGAACCAGAAGTCTGACCCACCTCAGACACCATCAGCCCTGTCAGGAGACACCTCTGACGGTTCTTCAGGTTTCCCATTGTCAGTCACAGAAGTGCTGACCCTATGTACAGCCAGCACACTCTTACTGTGCTTCTTCCAGTGATGTTCCACCCACTGGCACCCCCCTCTCCCCCAAAATCAAGAGTGACAGCGAGCCGGCGTGAAAGGGGGCTGCCTACAAGTTACAGACTTCAGGTGGTGCGCAGAAGGAGCTGGCGTAGCAGTGAGACCAGACCAGGGCTTCACTACTCAGAGGCAGACGCAGGCTCAGGTCTGCACCTAGCTGTGTGGCCTTGCACAAGTCAGCTCAGCTCTCTGAACTTCAGGGTCCTCTTCTAAGAAATGGTGCAGGATCGTATCTACCTACCCACGGGGGTGCGAGGACAGAAAGAGCCTTCGCAGGGAAAAAAAAAAAAAACCAGTGCCAAATCACCTGAACTCACTGACTGCTCCTCATAGGCCGGGCCTAAAAAGCCTGCCCTCAGAGCATGTAACTCCCAAAATCTAGGATTTCTAGATAGGCAAAGGAGACCCTGACGCACCCTATAAACCCCTCACTCACCCAGGGGACTGGTCCGACTGTGGCCTGAAGGCCCCTCCTCCTGACCTGGCATTGAAGAGTTAGCGGTGCTGTCCTCCTCCAGCCTCTGGTTCTGGGTCTGACCCTGGGCTGCTGCACCAAGATCCCGCCCCTCTCCCATGTTTGTTTGCTGCAGGGCAGAGTCTTGGCGGGGAGGGGGGGGGATAGAGAAATTAGGGAATGAAGGATAAGGGAAGGGTGAGCAGAGATAGGAAAGTTGAGGTACAAAGGGGGCTCACAGTCCCAGTCCTGATCCTCAGTTCGGCGCCCCCAGGAAGAAGGTGGATGGACGGCTGGACTTGTAAGCAAATTCCACATAAGTGAGAACTAAGGCAACAATTCTACCAAGGGGACCTGGAGGCGCCTGTGTAAATAGTAGGCAAAGTCCATGCAAATCAGCACACTGAGCAGGACCAAACTGAGGCACAGTGAGCACTTGGGGGGCTCACCTACCCTCACCTCTCACAAGGTTGATGGCCGGAAGCTCGACCCACTGGCAGGAGGGTGTCCTCTGCGGGAGCACTCACCTTTCGGGACCGCCTTCTGCTTCTGCTGCCGCTTGGAATGGGCCTCCTGCCAGTTGGCCAGCTGCCGGAGGACGTACTTCATGTCCAGGTGGGAAGGGCCCAGGCCACTGGCCTCCAGGGCGGAGGCCACCACATTCATCCTTGTGGCCTCGTCCAGCTCTGGTTCCACTTCCTCCCAGGCCTCGGTCTCCTCAGACACGCGGTCTGCCTCTTCCGCCAGCCCTTCCTCGGCCGTCCCCACCTCTTCTATGGCCCCCAGCTCCTCCTCAGGCACCAGCTCCTCTGGAGCCTCAAAATCTTCAGGTGGCTTGAGATCTTGTGGCGGTGGGGGTGGTGGCATCGCCCCCTGCGCCTGCTCTCGCTCCTCCTTGCAGCGGATGTCACATCTAGGCAGGGACACAGTGGGGTTTTCCCACACCTGTCACCCATGCTGGAGTTCCTGGCCCTTACTCCTCTCCCTCCAACCAGGGGCTTCTGAGGAGGACATCCCAACCCGACCCCTACCCCTTAGCTCTTAGAGTTCTCTTGCCCTGCCCTAGCCTACAGACCCTCACGGTCCTCCCCAGCTCTGTCCTAGCCAGGAGTGAAGGGAAGGAGAATCATCCTCAAGGTGCCCAATACCCAGCCCGTGCCCCTTAGCAAGAGGAAGCAGGGTCATCAGTACCAAACAGGTTCCATCTTCTTGTCCACTTCCCACCCTCCTGTCTAGAAAAGAGTAATGGGGATATTTCGTCCCAGGGCCAGTTGTCATAGAAACGAATCCACTTGGGTCAGGTGACTTGCCCAAGGACACAAAGGAGCCAAGCTGGGACCCAGCCCCAGGTGTCAAGAGCTGGGCCATTCATCTCTCAGCCCATGGTCAAGTGAAGGAAAGAACAGCCTTGGTCTCTAGTAGAGTAGCCTAAATCAAAGTGGCCACCTAGGAGCCCTCTGAATGGAAAGGGACAGCCTATTTCCAAAACAACCTTCAGATGAGCAGCCCCCTTCCCAGAGTTTCCCTGGTCACAGAACCAGCACCCTGCTGTTGTTGCTGCTGCAACGTGAAGACAGATGATGGGGAGCCCTCAGCCAGGTTACCCTAGGTTTTATGCCTCCCCCACAGCCACCCTGTAAGCCCTTAACAGAGAACAGGGCCTTCAGTGGACTGTGGAAACTCACGTTGCCAAGTCTCTGGGGCACAAACATATTGTAAGGTTACCGGACGCCTGGCACAGCAGTACATTAAATCTTAGTACTGGGAAGGCAGAGGCAGGCAGATCTCGAAGTTCAAGGCCTGCCTGGTTTACGGAGTGAGTTCCAGGACAGCCAGGGATACACAGAGAAACAGAGTCTCAAAAATACAAAAGAAAGAAGTCTCCGGTAGAAATGACCGATCCAACACAGAGTCCAAAGAGGGAGGGGTTAGGCAGTGTGAGTGGAGCAGGATGGATACCAGGGAAACCAAGGAGGTCCGAACATGAGGGTCAACCATGCCCCACTCAGAGAAAGTGGTTGCCACTGCGTGAACCAAAGTGAGCAGAGCTGAAGCAAGTCTGAGGATCCCCAGTCACGCACCTCTCCATGAAATAGGCAGGGTCAGTGATGATCTTCCTTAGAGACGTTCGGAGCTCCTCAGCCAGCGTCTGTGGGAAACTGGGAAGCGCGTCCTATAACAGAAGTGAGAGGAGCCGTTCCACCCCCACACTCACAGGGGAAAAATCTGAGGGCAGAAACCAGGCAGCAGGTCTGGTTTTATCACGAGATCAAAGGGACAGCCTCACCAGAGGCACACTGTATCCATAGTGGGTGACAGAAGTCGTAGGCATCGAGGAGCGCTGGCGCTGGTTCTTCCCATCCTCCTGGCGATCGCGAAACCTGCTCCCATAATCCTGCACGTGGGAGCCCGCGCGAAAGCTCTGCGAGGATCCAGGGGTCCCCAGTCAGACACTCCGCCTGCTTTCGCCTTAGCGCCCCGCCTCCCGCCACTCCCCCTCCCACCCCCGCCCCCATGCTCTGAATCTAAACAGTGAGATTCAGGGTAACCCTGGACAAGACCAATTCGGGTCTCAAATGAGCTGCTACCGTTGAGCCACAAGCCAGTCAGGGTGGGTGGCAGAAAGTTTCGGTCTTCTGTGGAGATTGAAGCAATCCCCAGGGGCCTGCATCCCTGATCAGGGACACATGGAACCTCACCTCTGCGTGGACTCCCTTCTCCGAAGCCAGCTGCTGCTGCAGTTTCTCTGTCTGGGCTCCATACTGGAAGGAACCAGGATGTATGAGACCCCCCACAAGACCTCCCACTCCCGGACTCCCTGCCCCAACAGGTGTCCCACATCAGAGTCTTTGACAGTCCTTTTACAAGGAGGTCACACGGAATGGGGGTCCTAAAGTGCAGGTCATTCAGCTTGGCACTGCGAAGAGTTGTGGGATCCTGTGGACTCGGCTAGGGACATTACTGGGCAGGATGAATGGCTCTTTAGTTAACCTCTGCTAACTCTGATGCCCATACAGGTTAGACCTCTGGGCCTGGCAGAGCAGGGGGACGAGGTTGGGGTCCCGTGCAGCCTCGATAGGAGAGAGGGGCTCCCAAGGTGCCGCTTACCGACTGGCAACGCTGTTGTAGCTTGGTGATCTCGGCCTGCAGCTGGGTGATCTCCTTCTGCTGCCGCTCATAACCCTCCAGCCTCAGGACCAGCACCTCCGAGAGCTCTGCCATCTGCTGGCTGGCTTCAGCTACGGGACAAGCACAGATCAGCTCTGGCCCGCCCCGTGGGGGTCCCAGGGGGCTTTGACATTCTTTGTTCAGGTCTTCTTGCCCAGGAACAGCTTATGAACACACAGATCCCAGTCCACACCAAGTTCCGGTACAGTGGAAACAGGCAACTGGGAAAAGGAACTCAGGATATCAAATAGTACTGGCTATGATGGAGCCAATGTGGTTGGGGGGGAGGGGGCAGCAGTAGAGCAAATGACGTCACAGGTGGAAGGCCCATCAACCAGTGCTGCAAAGCCTGGGAAGGGTTCTGGAAGGAGCCACCGGCTAAGAAAGCCCCACCATACAAAGAAGATGGAGAATGTGGGCAGCAAGAGATGCTGGGGCAGTGAGCGGAGGACCTTATCACACAGGTGGGGGAAGGAAGGGGTCGAGATTATCCTTTGACCAATGGGAAGACGGAACCTGATTCGGTTTCAGAAAACTCATCCAGGCTGTAGGAATAAAGGACCTGGATGGGCAGAGAGATCTCATTGTGCATTATGAGGTGTCAGGGGCTAGACTTGAGAGCCGTGGAATGCAGGGGGAAGGAAGGCCAGGGATGACATGGACAGACAGAAGCGGACTGCTACCCTTCTGAGTCTGCATCTCAGCAAGTAGACTTGAGGGCCTCAGGGACGGGCAAAGCCCAGGTTGGTGCTAGGCACAGCTCAGACCCAATATGTGACTTTGAATGCTCTTAAAAGTCCAGACTCTGGCAGCTGCTGGCTCCTCCCCCCACCCCACCCCCAGCGTGTATTGTCCCAAATAATAGACTTTAAGGACCCCTGTGGCTTCTGCCGAGCTCTCTACACCTCACACAAAGCCACAAAGCACTTCCTCGGCTCGTTCTCTCTCTCTCTCTCTCTCTCTCTCTCTCGCTCTCGCTCTCGCTCTCTCTCTCTCTTCTCTCTCTCTCTCTCTCTCTCTCTCGC